TCCCAAGGGAGATGACAACTGACAATAGTTAAGGGGAATGCTTTGTTGTTAAAATAGTAAAAAATATTTTAGGAACACACGGTTAGTAATATTTTGAGAAAGCAGTATGAAAAAACATGGAGATATAAATCCTGAAACAGACACGCAATAAATCCTGAAACAGATGCGCAATAAATATACATTTTTTTAATGGGTGGCACTGTAGCTCTCTAATCGTCCACCCAGTTTTTCTTGTGACCAGCGAGCTATAGATCTGCAGCTTCTTTATAAAATCTTACTCTTTTTTTTTTTACTTTGTTACCCTTTCCTCTTTTGTTCAGTCAAACAACATCCTTTTTGCATAAGTAAAGGGTAATATATATCTTTTTTTCTTTCTATTTAGTTCTTCGGTCCTTCGGATATAATTCGAGGTCCCGTGTCGCAGTAGGCGCTGGCACGAAAAAGATCCCTCACTGCTCAATGGCCCTAAGTGCCGATTATAGGTAAAAAATTTGTGACCCTCCACCGGCAAGTGGTGGCGTCTCCTTATGAGTGAAAAATTCTTAAGGGGGACGTTAAAAAACAATAAACAAAAAACTTATCTAGTTCTATTTCTTTTCTTTTTTTTTTTTATAAAAAAATACGTAAGTCAATAGACTTTCGAAAGGATTTTACCTCAGTTAAGTAAATTCAGCCAAAGGAGTCGTTTTGATATTCCTGAACATTATTGCTTTGAGTTGCCAGAGGCTGAGTGGGCCTTCAATTATGACTAAATCTAGAGTTTTCCTTTACAAAGAGACACCAAGAGAATCAGACTCATTCCCAATTCTGAAGAGATGCTGTTTGTTTTATCTTTACCAACTGGTGACCTCTAAGCTGCCATGTCACCCACACATATTTTATGAGCTCTGGAACCCAATGACTGTGTTATTCAAGCATAAACATGCTGACAATAGCATGTTTGACATTTTAATACCTTTAATGCGGTTCGTGATTCCTTTTGAAAGTAAATGGAACATGGTGGATCTGACCTTGAATTTTTATTGAGTAGGGAAAGCAAAACCCTTATAATTTTCCTATCCTCTACGTAACCGCGCAAGGGTTATACTTTGGACAAATTTGAATTGAAACTGTAAAACTTGGCGTTATGCTTGAGTCTTTTTGATGTACATAAACTACATATATCCTCTTTTGCCATTAATTAATTTTATTTTCTTGATATCTCTTCGTCTGTGATGTTTTATATCCAGATTAGAATTAGAAGTAATATGGCTGAAACATTGCCGACTCAGCGTTAAACAATAAACAATCAATCAATCAATTAGAAGTAAACGACGACAGAAAAAATGGCTTCATGTTCCAACGTTTCTGCATGAGCATCACTGAAGACATAATTTCTCGAAATGAGCATCAAAATTGGTACCTTATAAGATTTACATAAATGCACTACTAATTAATGAGATATTTTGAAAAAGATGATTATAAGCGACTGAAACGTAAAAATTTTGTACTCAGTTACTGACCTAAACAGAAAGGGCTCTTTAGAACACATTGAAAAGACTAAAATGTAACTTATTTGTACGGAGAAGGAAAGACGAAATTAATTTGATTGCGATTATTTATTGAGTGATGTTGCAGGAGTATACATATAGTATTAAACGAAAGAAAGAATAAAAAAATAACCCTTTGAGAGAATTTGTTTTAAGATTGAATTAGATAAAAATTCACATGATTTTCATTTTTTAAACTCAAGCTATGATACCGGATTCTAAGTGAATTTTCTTGTTTTGAAATGCTAAGATTAATGCTTTTGTTACAAATATAACCTGTTTTTCGGATGGATTCACTGGCGTTTATAATATTAATTGTTAGGTAATAGTTTTCGTACTGATTTCTCTACGGATACCTCTGTTTATCTAATCAAGACAAAGTGCTCACGGCAGGTACTACCGGACGTCAGGTTATGCTTACTTCCATCTCTGGTGTATTCAGGGATCTGTGTTTATCTTTCTCTTCATTAACTGGATTTTAAGTTCGCTCTTCTTTAACTTCACTTTTCTTAACAGTATGTTTAAGAAGTCGATTCCAAGTCATTGAATATTTTTCAGGTGTTTATACACGTAAAGAGGATCATTTTAACAATGTTAGATTTCCCATGAGTCTAATTGTATCCCATTGTTACCGGTCCTGTTTTGTATTCTTATGAAACAGAGTTTATTATGGAACTTCTACTTGAAAACAAGTCTCTTGCTGTGGCCTTCAGTTTGACTTTTATATAGAGAGAAAATAAAAATCAATAGCATTAAAAGGTATGACCTTTCTACACTTTATACAACGATTTCCCACGAGAAATTGATGTCCAGACTTTTTGACAATATAGGCAGCTGCATTTCAATAAAAAGAGAATTCGTAAATTTACTTACCTTGTCATTGGTCATTTGCAAAATTGATTTAAAAAAAAATTCTGATTGTAAACATAAGTACTCTGAAGTTGATATTAAAAAAGATGCTTGAGTTTCAGATCGACAATAACTATGTAGCTTTTGGAGATCTAACAATTTGTCGAATTTTTATTTGGGTACAAAATGCGCCCCATTATTAGGTATTTTGTATATTCATATCAAGCAGAATATATTCAAAGACTTCATGAAAAGAAGAAGTATTTTGCTGTGGCATTCAATTCAACATTCAGATTTATCGACGGCATATTATAAATAAAAAATCATTCCTACATTGATTCCATATATTTCTTTCAACTCGAAATAAAAGATATGACGGAGTCTGAGACATCCGTTTAATATTTGGACATTTTACTAGAAAACATGCTAAAGGTAACTTAACAAGAAAGCTTGATGATAAACGTGATGACTTCAACTTTTCTATCATCAACTTCCCTTATTAAGTATGTAGCAATATACAAATATCACCTGCAAATGTCTCCCATAGGATTTGGTACGCAAGAGCATGCTCTACATACGAGGCAAACTATAGTCGAATAAGTTGATAAAACATTAATATCAACAGTGATGTTTAAAGTCAATATTTCGCAAATTCTATGTTCGATACAATGACCTTGACAGCAAATATACAAGTGTAATATATCATTAAGTCGAATTTTGACTGATGATTTTCATTCAAATCGTTAGGCCATTATTTTCACACTGAATTGTCTACGGATTTTTTCCGTTCGCCGGATCATGACAAGAACCACACGGCGGGTGTGACCAGTCGACAGAGGTGCTTACTCCTCCATGGCACCTGGTCCCACCTCTGATGTTTTAGAGGTCCGTCTTTGCTCTGCTCCAGATATGTATTGTTTCAATGGACTGTGCTTGATTAATGTTCGTTATCTCAATATCTCATAGAAATTTTTTTTATCGGCAAATATTATTTGAATGATATTTAAACGTAGAAAACAATTTTAAAATCTCTTTTAGACTTTACAGACTGTGTAAAAATATTTAAATTTCAAAATCTTTCAAATTCCTTTGTTTTCATACATTCATCATAAAGTTGTTTTTTATTAATGAAAAAGGTGAAGATAACGAAAAGCGAAAAAATCTATGAATACAATTCTGTGAATAGGGCATAAAACACGAACCCCTGGAAATTCCAGAGGTGGGATCAAGTGCCTAGGAGGAATAAGCATCCCCTTTTGACCTGTCATACCCGCTGTGAGCCCTATGTATTGATCAGGTAGACGGAACATTACGTAGTCAAATTCAGTATAAAAACAAAAGCTTAACAATTGGTATGAAACAAGTCATCCAAAATACGAGACAATGATAGGTTATAGTTACTAATAAGGTAATTATAACGACCATAGAATTAGCAAAATGCCGACTTTAATTGAGTTTTTGACATCATTGTTACATCAAGTTATCTATCAGTAACATGCCTCGGTTTACAAATTGAACATACTCGGAGCATACTCTTCAGTATCGAATAAGTTGGGAAATATAAACACCATATGCAGGTGATAACGGGATATTACTACATAAATAAGGAAAAGACAAGATAGGCTAAAACCCCCTTTTGGTCCCTGGTTTGGGGTGTCTTTTAGAATGATGCAACTGTTTATCAATTAAAAACCTGTTGTCACCCTTGCCACAAAATGAGTATTGGTTCTAAGTTAAGGGATATACAGAGGTCAAAGGAAGGTCCGAAAATTTGTCAAATACCGAATTTTCTAATTTTTCATCGATTTTACCACACATTTTGATTCAGAAAACATAGAGCATGTCTATCTACCAAATTTATATATTTCATACACTTGTATCAGATGCATCTTGTGTATAAAAATCTTAGATAGGCAAGCTTGAGCTCTATGTTTCCCGAAGTGAAAAGTATTCCAAAATTTACGAAATTCGACAAGAATTGAGGAAATTTGAGAAAATGTCCTCCTTCTGCACCCTCTTGTGGTCTCCGTGTAAGCTTTGAATCAAAATTAGTGCTGGTCACGTGACTAATGGCCAGTGTGGTCACGGTTTAATTTCGAGGAGGGTTTAAGTCAATTTGCGCTGGAAAGACAAATCTGTGATTCCCTTAACTTTGCAGAGGTGTTTATTTCTGCTTAAAGCACAGTTCTGTGGTAATTTTTAAGTTTTTGTGTGTGATTTGGGAGTTAAACATATAAAGAAATAATGCCATTTCAAAACAGCAAGGATGAGAACAGTTCACGCAGTAATCCTACCCTCTCGACAGAAGTCAGTGGGGTGTCACTTCAGATGTCCGCTATCCACGATAGCCTTCGGACAATTACCGGTAAATTGGACAGTATAAACATTTTGCAACAATCTGTAAATAACATGAACAGAGATCTATGGGATGAAGATGGCCTAGACGATCGTATTAAATACATTGGCCAACAGCACGAGGATAATGTTGGAGAAATTGAAACTTTGAGATTGGAAAATAATTATTTGCGAAAAGAACTCGAGGTCTTAAAATCTATCGTAATTAATCTAGATAGAAGGGTCAGCCACCAATAGAATGAAATAGTGGACCTTAGAGGTAGATCCATGAGGGACAATATCCTTGTGCATAATTTAGCTGAGGAAGAGCAGGAAGATCTAAGTACAAAAGTGAGTGAGCTGATCAAAGAGCATTTAAATTTGGATGTTAGCTTTATCAGGATTCACAGAAATGGTCAGAGATCAACGGGAAACTCTAGGCCTAGGTCAATTACGGGGAAATTACATAATTATAGTGACAAAGATCTTATTCTCCAAGCAATGCGCCAAAAGAGGGAAGATGGCACCACTGACAACATGCCGTTTTATATCACACCGCAGACTCATCTGCAAATTAATGAAAATAAAAATAAACTGCAAGAGATAAATGCTAAGTATAGAGAGGAAAATGTGAAAACAAAGATTGTGGGGAACAAGCTCGTATTCCCGTATGGATCTGTGTACCGGGATAAGGTTCTACCACCAAGAGCCGAGGACCTCCTGATGCTCGACAGAGAAGAAATTGAGAAACTAGAAGAAGTTGATGTTAATAAGAGTGATACGGTTACAGAGGATGGGAATGTCTTTACATCGTTGGTTGCAGAAATTCAAACATATGCACAAGTTAGGAACTTGTACAAAAACGTCTTGCGCAATCCAGATTATGCTTGTGCTAATCATAACATTTTAGTGTATAGGTTCAAAGATGCACAGGGGCGAGTTCACGATGGTTACTGTGACAACGGGGAGTATGGAGCCGGGCGTCGAATGCTGAAGGTACTTGTTAGTGCGGAAGCATCAAATGCTGCAATTATTATTTCGAGGAAAAATGCCAGGCATTTGGGACCCCGTCGCTTTGAAATTATGAGTGAACTTGTCAAAAAAAGCGGTTAGACACACTTACTAAATATTTTACATTGAAAAAAAAAACCAGTAAATAGAAATCTTGTACAATACGTAAAAGTGAAATTTCTATTTTTCCTTCCTTATCTCTTTTTTTTCTTCTTTTAAGATTATTTTTTAAGACTATTGCATTTACTAACTTTCCGGGAAAACATACGTTAACCATACATACTCATGTTTTACTCGGCAATATTCGTTTCCGATAGTAATTGTTTTGGGAATTACCTTTGCTTTCCTGAGGTAAATACAGATTGACTTATTCCTTTTCTCCATTAGGAGATATGTTCAATCGGCTGGCTTTAGCTTTAGCCTTTTGTTTGTGTAAATATGCAACATTTTTTTTTTCTTTTTTGTATTCATTTCTCTCCTTCTCTTTCTTTACTACGGGCACTATTTTGATTCTTTGTTGATGTTCCTGTATGGATACGGTTAAAGAAAACCATTTAAAAATACTCACAGTTAACCGCCAAGGTCTCGGAGATAAAAACAAAAGATTAGATATTTTTAATACTCTAAGAAAAAAGAACTGTAATGTTTATTTTCTACAAGATACTCAGTGATGATGAAAAAATTATCCAAGCACAGTGGGGCTGTCAGGCTTTTTTAGTTCCTTTAAGTCAAATTCACGTGGAGTAGCAATACTGTTTTATAATAACCGTGAAATAGATATTCACAGACATTTAAATGATGAAAATGGTAATTATTTAGTTATAGACTGTGCAATTGAGGGTGTACAATTTATATTAGTTAATATCTATGGACCTAATTCAGATACACCAGTTTTCTATTCTAATCTGATGAATGAGATATAAATTTATATACAAATCAGGAAATTATCATGGCAGGAGACTTTAATTTAGTTCTAGATAAAGAAATAGACTCCATGAACTATAAAAATTCAAATAATCCCAAAGCAAGATTGGAAGTTATGAATTTAATGGAAAAGTTAAATTTAAAAGATGTGTTTCGTGAAAACTATACACAAGTTGGACGCTATTCTAAGAGGAGAAAGACACCTTTAAAACAGGCTAGACTTGATTTTTTTCTTATCTCTGAATCATTGGTCCCTTCTGCTACTTGTATTCAATATGAAAATAGTTACAGATCAGACCATTCCCCAGTTGTAATGTCCATAAAGATAAATAACTTTGTAAAAGGCAAAGGTTTTTGGAAGTTTTACAATTCCCTTTTAACAGATAAGGATTATATAAAACTGATAAAGGAAAAAATAAATGAAGTGAAAACTTAATATGCTTGCCCAGTATACAACATGGTCAATCTTAGTAGTATCGATAATGAATTCTTTTTTTACTGTCAATGACCAGTTATTTTTAGATATTTTACTTATGGAAATTAGAGGAAAGACTATTTCTTATTCAACATATAAAAAAAAAAGATGATCGAAAGAGAATTAAATTTAGAAAAAAGAGATTCTATATTTAGAACAAAATCTGACGGAAATTTTACTTGCAACCCTTACAAAGAAGCAATCAGAACTTGAAGGTATACATAAGACTAGATTGAAGGGACAGGTTATTCGATCTCGAATGAAATGGATTGATGAAGGAGAAAAACATACCAAATATTTTAGTCAGTTAGAATCTAGAAACTATATAAGTAAACAGATACCAAGAATAGAAAAAGAAAATGGAACCATTGTTTCTGAACAGTATGACATTTTGAATGAAACTAAATTATTCTATGAAAATCTATATAAAAAAAGAGATATTTTAGACAATGAAAATTATAGTGAAAAACTAGCAGAATATAATGATATCCCAAAGTTGTTCTTAGAGGAATCTCAAAGTATAGAGGGCCCTGTAACAAAAAAGGAGGTACTTAATTTTCTTAAACAAATGAAGAATGATAAAAGCCAAGGTCCAGATGGATTTACTTGTGAATTCTTTAAATTTTTTTTGATAGATATTGGCACATTTGTGACGCGTGCAATAAATGACTCGTACGTAAAACAAAGTTTCTCTGAATCCAACAAACTAGGTGTAATAACTTGTATTCCAAAAACTGGAAAACCACGACAATTTTTAAAAAACTGGCGTCGTATAAGTCTCTTGAATGTTGTATACAAATTAGCATCTGGATGTATTGCTGAAAGAATAACAATTTTCTTAGATAAGTTAATACATGGAGACCAAACTGGGTTTATCAAAGGCAGACTTATTGGAGAAAATATTAGATTAATATACGATATCATGCATCAAGCTGAATTTAGAAAAATACCTGGTCTTCTAATGTTTATCGACTTTGAAAAAGCATTTGATACAATTTCATGGAATTTTATACACCAACCATTATGTTTTTTTTAATTTTGGTATATCAATTAGAAATTGGATAAAATCTTTCTATAGCAATATCAAATCATGTGTTATTCAAAATGGGATTGTGTCCAAATATTTCTGTCCTGGGAGAGGTTGTAGACAAGGGGATCCTATTTCCCCTCACTTGTTTTTACTCTGTGCAGAGATATTAGGTATTTTGATTAGAAAAAATAAAGACATAAAAGGTATAACCATTGATGGTGAAGAGTATAAGTTATCACAATATGCAGATGACACTTCTGTTATTGCTGATGGTTCTCCAAGCTCATTACATGGAATTACAAGAGTATTAGATTATTTTGCTGCAATTTCAGGATTAAAGATAAATTTTACAAAAACAAAACTGATTTGGATTGGAAGCAAGAAATTTTCAAAAGAAGTGTTTCATCACTCGAGATGGAAGTTTGATCCAAATAATACAACCTTCGATTTATTAGGGGTTTAGTTTTCTATTAATCTGGATGAAATGGTAGAAATGAATTATAAATTAAAAATAGAAGAGATTAAGAAAACCATGATACAATGGAAAGCTAGAAAGATCACTTCTCTTGGAAGATTGACTGTAATAAAAACATTATTAATTCCTAAACTAAACCATCTAATCCTAACTTTACCAAATCCCAGTGAAGAAGTAATAAGTGCTTTTGAAAAAGACTTGTATAATTTCCTTTGGAATAAGAAGAATCATAAAATTAAGGAAAATGTTATAATTCAAGACTGCAGATATGGTGGTCTAAAGATGATAGATTATAAAGATTTTGTTACATCATTGAAGGCAAGTTGGATAAGACGGGTAATACATTCAAGAGCCAAATGGGTCAGCTTACTTGAGGCAGAATTAAAAGCAAGTATAAATCATCTTTGGGTGTTGGGAATTGATTATATTAAGAATTTAGGCATTAACTTGAGAACTAAATTCTGGAAAGATGTATTTTTTTAGCTGGTCTAAAGTATTTCAGAATGAAGCTATGAATGGTTTAACACCCCAGCAAGAACATGTTTGGTACAATCCAAAGGTCACCATTGGTGGCCGGTCAATTTTTATTAAAAGTTATTTTAATTCTGGTTTTGTTTTTATTAATGATTTTATTGATTCAAATGGTAATATTTATAGTTTTAATCATATTCAAAATAACTTTAATGTGAAAACAAATTATATTGAAGATGCAGGACTAAGAACTGCTACAAGAAAGAGACTAGCCTGTTTTAAAGATTACAAAACAATTTTAATTTCCAGACCACTTATTCCTGCTAGTTTGCTTATTTTTTTCAAGAGTAAAAAAGGGTGTAAAGATATGTATAATCTTCTCATTAAAAATAAAAAGGGTGAAATAACTTCAGTTATAAAATGGAGAAAAGAAGGAGAACAATTTTGTGAGGCATCATGGGAAAAAATATTTGAGCTACCATTAAAAACAACTCAAGAATCCAAATTTCAATGGTTACAATTTCAAATTTTACATAGAATAATTCCTACTAAAAGTTATCTTTACAAATTAAAATTAATTGATTCACCATTATGTTCCTTCTGTGATACTGATATTGAAACTATTGATCATCTTTTTGTTGACTGCTTCTGTGTTAAAGAACTTTGGTTGGAAATTGAAGAATGGATTTTGAATAAACTAAACCGGTTATTTTGTTTCGATAAGAAATCAATCTTGTTTGGTAAATTTACAAACAGAGAACAATACAACTTTGAGAATCTCCTTATTATGACTATCAAACAGTATATTTTTTCAAGTAAGTTCAAAATCCAATAAAATTAAGCATTGAGGAATTAAAACATGTAATTACTGACAGAATTATTAGAGTTGAAAAGTTTTTACTGTTAAAAAACTGTAAATTTGAGGAATTTACAAGACACTGGAAGGAAATTGTTGAAAAATTGTAAAAACTCAAAAATCAATTTTTATTAATATTTTGAAGTTCAGTGCCCCTCCTTTCTTATCCCTCCCCATCTTTCCCCCTCTTCTTTTCTATCTTTTCTTAATCCCCCAAAATAAAATTCTTTCACACATTTTTTTTCTTTATATAACTGTGACTGTTTGTATTTATAATTTGTGTGATTGAAGAATTAAAAAAAAAAAAAAAAAAAAAAAAAAAAAAAAAAAAAAACTGAGTAAAAACTACCAATAAAAAAAAAAATAGTGCTTGTTTTAAAACAAGCATCATTTTAAGTTCTTAACTACAAACTATCACAATTTTAACTGTGTTCTAAGAAGATGGGCGTGTTTGGCGTGTGATCTGCAGGAATCATGTGACCGAAACATTTATAGTTTAAGTGTCCACGATTGTAAGCCAATGACCAAAAATAATCGTTTTTCAAAGAGTTTTATTTACTGAAAGTGTGAGTCGTAAAGCTGATCGTATAGTGGCTCTCCCGAAGAGCCCCGTAGATCGTATTTTATAATGTACAATACATAATACTCATTTACGTATGAAATAGACAAATCAGATTCAAGTAAACAAGTTATTCAATAAATTTGTACAAAATCCTGGAATTTTATAAAATAAATTGTAATTGAAACATAAACTTTAATAAGCTTCAGTCCAACGTTTTGGTATTGTGCAAAAGTTAAAATAATGTTAAGATAATTTTTAGCAATGTTCCGTTACTGTTCCTGCATCGTCGTCCCAAGATAGATAAACATC